CAGTCTGGAGGAATCAAGACCCTGGAAGAATTCAAAGTTTTTAGATCCAAATATGAAGTCATCACCAATTACCTCTTCACCATGGGCCATATCTCTCACTTGGAGGAATCTAGGGAATACTTGTTGGACTCACTCAGCCCTGATTTGGAAACTTCAGTCACCAAGGAACTCATCAGCAAGAATGAAATGTTGGCCTCCAGGGATGGTGGGGATCTACTTCCAAGCTCCAAGGTTTTAATCACCTACATCCTCAGAGAAGTTCAGTCAGCATCTTTCATGGCCAGAAGAAACCTCTTCAAGATGGAACCCACCAAGGACAACTCTTTTTCCAACTCCACTAAAGCTCCTAGAACTCCCAAGCCTTCTGTCCCTTCTACAAGCAAGACAACAGACCAGAAATTGGATGAGCTCACTAGGCAAATGGCAGCTTTCACTTCTGGAAAAATGGTCCCCCCTCACCTTTCTGGCACCTCTTCCCAGCAGAATATCCCAGCTCCTAGGAACCCAGACTTCAAGTGTTACTATTGCTTTCAACCTGCCCACAGTACCATGAAATGCAGTCTCCTCAGCTATGATGAATCTCAAGGCCTAGTCATCAGGGAAGGAAAGACTTACAAGCTTCCTGACAATACCACCATCCCCTGGGATACCTCTAGACCAATCAAGCAGGTAGTGGATCAGTACTCAAAGGAACCCTCTGGCATCATTTCTTCCTTTGGACAACTAGAAGAACTCACTGAAACACATCCTTCTGTTTATGACGTGGACTTGGGGAAAAGGACCAGATCTTCCAAGGACCAAGATGAGGAGGAGCCAGCCACAGAGAAGAGAAGCAGGAAGGAGAAAGACACTCTTATGGATATGGACCAGGATGACTTACTTAAAATGGCCACTCCCCCTTCCAAGCCTTCTCAGAAACCCAGTCCTCCTGTTCAACCCAAGCCCAGCACCTCTACTCAGACCAAACAAAACTCTGCCCAATCCAAAGTCAGGTTTCAAAACACTGAAGATCCAGAACCCAGCAGTCCCAAAGAGAAGCCTACCAAGAAGACCTATTTGGAAAAAGCTTTGTCAAAGGAATACCCCCAGGTGGATGAGGCAACTGCCAGCAGATTTCTTAAGGAGACCAAGATAGAGCTTAGCTGTGGAGAACTTTTTGCCCTGGCCCCTGGATTTTCTGAGGTTGTTAAAAGAAAAATTTCCAACAGAAGAGTGCCCATTGAACCCAACACCTCTTCCAGCCATGCATCCTTGGGGGACCTTGCTTCTTCCAACCATGGAGCCCTGGATACTGATGAAGAAGAAGACAGGGATTCAACCACTCATTACTCTTGCCCCCTTGGCTACATCAGACTTGGAATAAATGGTACAACTCACCAAGCTCTTTTGGACACTGGCTCCATGGTCAACCTTATTCCTGAAGAAATAGCTCAACAACTTGGACTAGTCATCACAGAAAGAGAGATGAAGCTCAGAGGAATTGGAGGCCACCACACTACCATTCTGGGAATTGCTGAAGGAGTTGAAGTCCAAATTGGAAAAGTCACCAGGGCAGTTCACTTCTGGGTTGCCAAAGGAGGAAGTGTGCAATTCATCTTGGGGAAACCCTTCTTAATGGATGTATCTGCTCAAATCAAATACAATGGACCCAAAGGGGAATCTCTTTCAGTCTTGGACAACAAAGGAAATGCCTACTTAATTCCAATTTGCTGGCCCAACCATCACAAATGGGAAACCTCCCTCCCTTCTTTCTTGGTCACCAGGGATTTTTTGGACCAGAGGCAGGATTTCAGATCTACCAAATAGAGTATCTGGACCTGTCACAACCACCCAAACAACCAGAATTAGTCACCTATGCCACAAAATACAAATCAACTCTAAAAAAAATCAAACCTGTAAATCAACCTATGCCCCTTTCCCTCAATCCTCCTCTTTCAAGACCACCACTCTCTAGAGACCCCTATGCAACCCCTTTAACTCCCTTCCCACCTTCATTTCAACCCACCTCCAAAGTTACACAAGAAAGACTGGATGTTATCAATTTTGGCCCCCCTGGATGGCTGTCAAAGGAAGAATACAATCTATTAGTCTGGGTCATCACCCTCAGGCAGGGAGCCTTGGCCTTTGTGGAACAAGAAAGAGGACTACTCAAACACACCTATGGACAACCTTACATCATTCCTGTCATTCCCCATGAACCCTGGCAACAAAAACCAATTAATATTCCAGCTCCAATCAGGCCTCAATTCATTGAACTGGTAAGGGAAAGACTCAAGACTGGCCTTTATGAACAATCCTTTTCCAGTTACTCCAGCCCTGTCTTCTGTGTAAAAAAGCAAGATGGTAAATTAAGAATTGTTCATGACCTTCAACAACTCAACAAAGTCACCATTAAGGATGCAGGTCTTCCACCTTCACCAGAGGAATTAGTGGAATCATTTACTGGACGTGCTTGCTATGGACTTGGGGACATTATGGGAGGTTATGATGAAAGGGAATTAGCACCAGAATCCAGACCATTAACAACTTTTGAAACTCCACTTGGCAGGTTCCAACTCAACAGACTTCCCCAAGGTGCCACCAACTCAGTTGCAGTCTACCAGGCCCAGATGACTTGGATCCTTCAAGATGAATTGCCAGAAAACATGGGAATTTTCATTGATGATGGAGGAATCAAAGGACCAACTTCAGACTACAATGGAGAAACCCTGGAGGCCAACCCAAAAATTAGAAGATTTATTTATGAATATGCCATCACTTTGGAGAGGATACTTTTCAGAATTGAGGAAGCTGGACTCACCATTTCTGGAAAGAAATTTGCTTGTTGTGTCCCTGCCCTGGATCTTGTTGGCCATGTTGTCTGCAAGGAAGGAAGAAGAATCTCAGTCAAGAAGCTCAACAAAATTGAATCCTGGCCAATTCCCACCACTCCAACAGCTGTCAGGGGATTCCTTGGAATTTGTGTCTATGTCAGAATGTTCATCAAAGATTACTCCACCATCACTGCACCTCTCAGAAAACTCACCAGGAAGGACTCCACCTGGGATTGGACTGATGAATGTCAGGATGCCTTTGAAGAACTGAAGAAAATCATTGGGACTGACATCACCCTCAAGAAATTGGACTATGGACCTGGAGCTGGCCTCATCAAGCTTTCTGTGGATTTCAGTTACATTGCTGCTGGAGCATTTCTTACTCAGGAGGATTCAGCTGGACTGGACAGACCTGTTATTTATGAGTCAGTAGTCTTTTCAAAAAGAGAATCTGAATACTCACAATCCAAACTTGAGCTCTGTGGAGTCACCAAAATCCTCAAGAAACTTCAAACCAAACTTTGGGGCCAACATTTTCAGCTCAGAGTGGATGCCAAGTGCCTTATTGGAATGATCAACAACCCCTCACTTCCCAATGCCCCTATGAACAGATGGATAGCCTTTATTCAGCTTTTTTATTTTGATTTGGTACATACTCCAGGTAAAACTTTCACCATGCCAGATGGACTTTCCAGGAGGCCCCCAGATCCAGATGAAGAAGATTGTCCTAGTTTTGATGAAGATGAACAATGGATGAAGCCACACCCTGGATTTGGAGTCAAACAAGCTTTTTCTGGAGTGCTGCTGGGGACATCAGCTCAGTTGGGGGAGGGGGTAACTTCTCTGCAACAAGGAATTTGGAAGCTCTTGGAAGAATACCTTGCAACAATGAACAGACCTCCTGGATGCGGTAACCTGGAATTCAAACAAATTTTGCACAAATCAGCCTCTTTTTTCCTTTCCAATGGAGTCCTCCACAGAATCAACAAACCTTTCTCCCAGATTGTGGTCACTTCCCCCACGGCTCAGAATTCTATCCTTCACTCCCTTCATGAATCCTTAGGCCACAGAGGAATCACTGAAACTTATACCAGAACCAAGCTCAGATTTTGGTGGCCAGGTCTCAAGAAATCAGTCACCAGATGGGTCCAGTCCTGTGAAGCTTGCCAGAAAAGGAGTTCAGTCTTGCCAATGGAGCCAAGGAAGCCTACAGGAAAATCAACAATCTTTGGAAGAGTCAGCCTGGATTCAGTTCACATCAAAGCAGGAAGATGGAAATACCTAGTTCTGGCCAGAGATGACCTCTCAGGATGGGTGGAAGCCATTGGACTAGAAAAACTTCAAGCAAAGAAAATATCAGAATGGTTCCTGGAACATTGGATTCACAGATATGGAGCTCCCTTGGTTGTAGCAGTGGATGGAGGCTCTGAATTCAGCAAGCAATTTCAAAAATCCCTTCAAGATTCTGGAATAAAGGTTAAAGTCACCACACCATACTACCCAGAGGCCAATGGAATGGTTGAGAGAGGACATCAAGCAATCAAAGACACCCTGGTCAAGCTCTGTGGACAGGAAGGCAAGAAATGGAGAAATTATTTACCATTAGTCTTATTTGCTGACAGGATTTCAACCAAAAGATCAACTGGATACTCACCTTATGAACTAGTTTTTGGCCAGCCTCCTATCTTACCAATTGACCTTGAATTGGAGACCTTCTTTGGAGTGGAATGGGATCAAGTGGCAACAACTCAGGACCTTCTCTTGGCCAGGGTAACTCAATTGGAGAACAGGGACTCTGTACTTGCAGAAAGGCACATCAAAAGCTATTGGAAACTAGAGGGTACATCTGTGGACTACTGGAACAACAAGAAGAAGACTAAGAACCATGGAAAGAAGGTGATTTGGTATTAGTCTACAACAAATCCTTGGACTCCCAGTGGGGCAAATTGTTTGAAAAACAAGTGGAATGGCCCTTACAAAGTGAAATCTCAAAACCCAGGTGGATCCTATACTCTGGAGAAACTGGATGGCTCTGAATTGGCCAGAAAGGTATGCTGCAAGTCATGTAAAAAAATTATTCCCCCGGAAATTAAAAAATTATAATTAAAAAAAAAAAAAAGGGAGAAACTCGCTAAAAAAAAAGGTTAAAAAAAAAAAAAAAAAAAAAAAAAAACAAAAACAAAAATCTTACATACCTTGGTCTTCTACAAGGGCCTTAATTTCTGACACATACTCTTCAGTCACCTCCTCTGACTGTGCCTCTATAAAAAAAAAAAAAAAAAAAAAAAAAAATCATTAGTAATAGGTTCTCTCAAAAACAGCTCAATTGAAGTATAAATTCTAGTGAAAATTAAACCTTACCAACTTCCTTGTGAAAGACAGCCATCTCTTCTTTATCTCTCTTCTTTTCTTGCTTTCCTTTAGCCTGGATGAGGGCCCTTCGAAGTTCCATAGGCGGTCCCAGTTGATGCATATGGAGCTTGAAGTTAGAAAATTTAAACAAGAATTAGTAACGGCCGCGATGGATCTTGCGGAAAGGAAAAGCTTAACTCACGGTTGAAAACAGGTCCTCGATGCGACTGTACAGTCTCAACCTTTGGACTCGATCCGTTTCGTTGGAGTCGCTTATGCTTCTGGCAAAACGGATAAGCTCGTCCGTGACGAGTATTCTAAAATCATGAAGTTCTTCGAGCGAAAAGGAGTCGCGAGTGAAAGCTGGACTGAAGTTGGAATAATCGGCTGGAAGGGCCGAAGAACGCTTGTCGACGGTGTCGTAGTCAACTGGCGAATAATTTGCGACGGATCCGTAATCGGTTGACGAACTTTCATCGACGGAATCAGAATCAGATCCAGACCCGGTAATGGTGGCGTCAGACGAGGCGATAGACAACGGACGCGAGAAGGACATTGCTCTGGTGGCTATAAAACAGGGTTACAGGGGAAGCGCTGAGGCTGCGATAGAAGACGGGCAGGCTAGATGATGTAGCTCTTTGGCTGCGATAAAAACGGCAGGGAATTATTGGGCGAGGAAGGCCTCGTGAAGTCAAATCGATGGTCTTTTATGTTGGGCATGAAGGCTGACGGAGGATCCAGCCTGGTTCTGATGGATGGGTCGCAATCGCCAGCTAAGCTCACGGTTGAAGCCTTCTTCGTTTGTCGCCCTCGCCGAGGACTTTCTTTCATTTTACTTTCTTTTTTTCGGGTCATAAACCAAAACCTCCGACCTAGGTTTAAAGGCAGCATTCTACTCGATGGTGACATGGTCGTTCGACCAAGGGTTTTCTTCTTGAAACTATGCTGTGCTATACCGTTTTACACACAATTTTTCTTTAATCTCATCCATGAACGGTGCGCTGCCTGGTGGTGTTTCATTATCATCCTACCCTTTTCGATGCTGGTGCGCAAACCGGGCAGTGTTTCATTTCCTCTTATCCACTAATTCTTTTTGATTCCGGTGCACGATCCGGTCTGCGTCACACTTCGTCTATCCTTAAATCTTTTTCGACTCCGGGTGCGAATCGGTCTCTTTTCCTTACGATCATTTCTGATCTATGTTATTTCTCGATTCCGGTGCGCGATCCGGGCGGTATTCTGTTCCTCCTATTCGTTTCAGTTTTTTTTTCCTTATTCATTCTTTTCGACGCCGGTGCTCGATCCAGGGCTGTGTTTCATAGCTTCCTTTTTTTTCTCTTTTTTAATGTTGACTCTGGTGTTCGACCCAGTTCCGATGCCTTCTCTTTCATTCTATGACATCACTGCATTTTCGACATCGGTCTTTCGTCTTCGCCGAGGGTCGTGCGCTGTTTTCTTTGCTCTTTTTTTCCTTAAGTCTGTCCCTCTTGGGGACTGTTTTTCACCGGACACCTCCTCTTTAGGCTTTTCCCTTTCTGGAATTCCTGGACCTGCTTTCCTCAATCTGGCTAGTAATGAAATCAATTTTTTTTCAAGAATCTATTTAATCTCTCAACATTTTGGAGAAATGAAAAAGGACCCATGGACCCATGAAACCCCAGAAATGGGAGTACACCAACCACAGCTCACCATCCTCCCAGTACCCCACCATTCACCAATCACCTGAACTTCACCCCCCACCTGGATTTTGGCATCCTCCCACCATGGAGAGAATTCTTCCTCCTACCTTGAAAATTCTTTTATCCACCATGAGGACATCTGATTACCTTTATGAATTTTCAGCTATAATATCCATCTTTGTTGGTTACACCCCCTTTTCTATATTACATCCATCATTTTTGAAGTAGTTCTTTCAGAAAAACCCTCCTTATTTTTTTACTCCTGTGTGTTATCTTCCTCAAAACTTCTTCAGATT